GCTATTCTTTGCTGTCAGTGGTTGCCACTCCCTGGCTGTTTGTGATTCCTTAGAATGATTTAATGTGCTTAACATTTGATCTAGAACAAGATTCTTAACCTTTTTTGTGGGCAGTCCGATGAAGCCTCAGGACCCCTTATCAGAATCATGTTTTTAAATGCATAAAATAAAACACATAGGGTTACAAAGGAAAGAATTATATTGAAATACCGTTATTAAAATATTTTTGAAACAGTTTTAATAAGCCCCAGGTTAAAAACCCTTAGCTAAAAGTAGTCAATTACCAGAATATGGGATGATTTCACATTTCTCTAATAAATTGTAATGCTGCCCATAACCAAATAATAATAGCTGTTAAAGCTTAAAACTGTACTGAGACTTTTTTTTTTTTTTGGAAGACCTTGTAAAGGTGTCTTAGTTGTATTTAAAGAATATTGATGGTCCCTTTGACCCAGCAATACAACTTCTAGGTCTGTATCCCAAAGAGATCATAAAAATGAGAAAAAGACCCACATGTACAAAAATACTTATAGCAACTCTTTTTGTGGTGGCAAAGAATTGGAAATTGAGGGGATGCCCATCAATTAGGGAATGGGTGAACAAGTTGTGGTACATGAATGTAATGGAATACTATTGTGCTACAAGAAATGATGAGCAGGCAGACTTCAAAAAAACATGGAAAGACTTGTGTGGTCTGATGCTGAGTGAAGTGAGCAGAACCAGGAAAACATTGTACACAGTAACAGCCACATTATGGGATAACTGACTTTTGATAGACTTGGGTCTTCACAGCAACGCAAGAATCTAAGACTACTCCACATTTGCTGTCCACAAGATGGAAATTGCTGTCCACACTCAGAGAAAGAAATACAGAGTCTGAATGCAGATGGAAGCATACTATTTGCTCTCTTTTTCCTTTGTTGTTTTGTTTTATTGCTTCATTCTTGTGATTCCTCCCATTAGTTCTAATTATTCTTTACATCATGACTAATGGGAAAATATGCTTAACATGAATGTATATGTAGAGCCTATATCGAATTGTACGCCATGGTGGGGGGAATGGGAGGGGGAAGAAAATTTAAAACTCAAAATCTTATGGAAGTGAATGTTGAAAACTAAAAATAAATAAATTAAATTTAAAAAAAAAGAATATTGATGGATCAGAGCTCAAGTTCCACCCTTCCTTTGGGGGAACAGACAGAGACTGTAGGTCTAGAGATGAGCCCCTGTCCTCTGGGGATTCTCGTCAGAGACACCCAGAGTCAGAAAGGACTTTAGAGGCTCTGTGTCTAGTCCAGTCCACACTTAAATGGAAACTATTCTACCATTCTCGTCAGCAAGTATTTATCAATAAATAGGCCGGGAACTGCACTAAGCGCTGGGGATACAGAAACACAAGGTAACATCTGTGCCCTCCAGAAGTTTACATTCTAGGAGAAGAGACACATGAGCAAATGTGTGTGTGTGTGTGTGTGTGTGTGTGTGTGTGTGAGATATGTGCCAAATAAATACGAAGTAGTTTTGAGAGAGAGGACGCCAACAGCTTGAGGGGGTCAAGAAGGGCTTAATGGAGAAGCTTTTGCTTGAAGACCTATAGTGAAGTCAACTCATTCTACTTTTAGATAGCTGTAATTTGTTTTGTTTGTCTTTTAAGTTAGTTAAATAATTGGCTTTTAGTTTTCAACATTTACTTTTATAATATTTTGAGTTCTACATTTTTCCTCCTCCCTCACCTTCCCCCTTCCCAAGAAAGCATGCAATCTGGTATGGGCTATACATGTACAATCCTATTAAACATATTTCCACATTAGTCATGTTGTGAAAGAAGAATCAGACCAAAAACGAAAAACCACAGGAAAGAAAAAACAAAAAAACACACACAAAAAAAAGAGAAAATAGTGTGCTTCAATTTGCTTTCAGACTCCATACTTCCATCCTGAGTCTTTTGGAGTTATCTTAGATCATTGTTAGATAGCTGTAATTTGTTAGGAATTTTTTCTTTAAGTAACTTCCACCCATTCCTCGTTCCTGTTTCTGCCCTCTGGGGCCAGACCGAACAAGACCACGAGACAGCTGTTTAGCTACTTGAAGGCAGCCTCTGGAGACTCACATACCCACTAGGGTCCTCTCTAGGCTTAAGTGTCTCCTTCACAACCCGGAGGGTGCTTAGGGTAAAGGGGCTGAGATGGTGTTTTATCAGATCCTGGGATGTCTTTCATATGTGGGCAGCCCCGAATGGTGTTTCTTTAGGTCTCCCTGTGGTACAGACTAGATTGTCAGAAAAACTCACTGTCCCTCCTGGCCCAACACAAAGTTACCTGTCAAGTCTCAGCTCTTTGTCCTGACCGGCTTTGGACTCTGCCCACTTCTGTTTGTTTGTGCTTCGATTCTCCTTGTCTTTTCCTGTTTGCATTGTGACTGTCCTGGGATAGCTGACCCTGCCGCCTTTGAACCCCATTCTTGTCTACTCCCAGAGTTCCTGTTAATTCTCCTTCTTCATCTGACCCTGAGTAACTTCGGTCAGCATTTATCTACTGCTCTACAAAGGAACTCGGCCCTGTTGTCTGCACACCTGTGTTGGGGCTGTCCCCAAGTGAAGAGAGTAGAACGACATTCGGCATGACCTGCCTTTGAAGCTACCCTGTCCATTTAAGGCCCAGTATAGGCAATGAGCCAAATCACAGACTAACGTAAGAATTAGCGGTCAAGCTTTGGCCCAGCCAACTATAGGAGACTCTCTGGGATTCTTGTATCAAATATTACTTCAAGCAAATGGGTGCATTGCAAAGAAGGAGCAGGAGAGAATCATGCAGATTGCCCAGTGTAGTACTTGAGGACAGAATGAACCTGTTGGGGGTCGGGGAGGAGGGAGGGAGAGAAATGAAGGGGGAGGGTTATCTAATCTTGAATCCTATCAGGGACCCATTATCATCCCCATAGTTGTTTAGAATTCTCTGGGCTCTTCTGTCGGGAAAAGGAAAGTTTTCTTCAGCTGGCCCCACCAAGCTGGAGCATTCCATAAAGAGGGAGCCAGGACATAATAAGAGTCAGCTTCACCAGCCTGGAGCATTCTGTCATGACATGGTTTCTTGTACCAGCCCAGGACATTCCACCAAGATTCAGCCAAGACCTAATAACCTCCACGTGGCGCTGCTTCTGCCTTGCTGCCCAGACTCGCACGGAAGCCTGGAACATCCTGCCCTGAGGTGTTCCTCACCTTCTCCCCTTCCCACCCCCCATTAGCCCGGAATATTACATCAAGAGTTAACCAGGTCCTAACAGCCTCCATGAGGTGTCCTTCCTTCTAGCAAGCCTGCCCAATTCCACCATGAGGCGCCCTAAGCACCAGCCCAGGACATTCCACTGTGTGGTAGCCTTCGCCAGTTCAGAACATTCCACCATGGGGTGCCTGCCCCTGTCCTACTAGCATAGGACGTTATGCCAAGAGATAGCTCCTCTCCACTCCCACTAGCCCAGGACATTCCACTTGAAGTGCCTACCCTTACCGTACCAGGCAGGATATTCCATCAAGAGATAATTAGGACATAATTTCCACGAGGCAGCCCCACCAGCCCAGAGCATTCCACCAAGAGGTGACCAGGACCCTCCCGCATACAATGACTGGAAAGATTGCTACTCTGATGATATGGTTAGGGGAAGCTGGAGACTACAGGCTCCCTCATCCACCGCTCTCCAACCTAGTCGCAAGTCCAACATTGCCATGCCCTGCATCTCACCCTCCAGCCAGCAAGGCCAGCCTCTCACCACCAGGCCACTTTGCCCCTTGGCCTAGGTCTAGAACCTCCCCTCAGCCTCAATTAAGTCAACATGTACTGGGACCTGATAAGGAAAGATGCCTGAATCAACCTGGCCTCAGCCCTCCACAGCCAGTGAGGGACGGGCCTCATATACCCAACATTAGGTCTGGTGACAGCCAGCAACCTGGATTGTCTCAGAGCCCCGACCCCTCTCTACGGTGAGAAAGTCAAATCAGCATCCGAGTACAAACCTTGTCCAGAATGGTCACTTCCAGAAGAAAGGCGTGATCATGTGTCATCTTATGTGCCTTTGCTCACTAAATGAAAGCTGCCTAAGTGGAAGCTCCTCCCTCTGCCACCTAATCTCCATCGGCTTCATCCATTATTTCTAAGCCTGCCCTTATCTTGCTTTGTCCTGCTTTCCCTTTGTGCCCCGGAAGCCTTGTTCCATTGTTAATTCATTGACTTTGATATTTAGCCCTCTACTCTTTTGTTCCTTGCAGTCCTAGAAACCTGGCTCTGTCCAGGTGACATTGGGGACCACCCCCTCCAGTGTTGGATGACCTTCCTTCATGCTTAAGAAGCACTGAGCCAGGAGGAAAAACAGGCCAATTCCTCGGTCCTCTCTGCCCCTTGCAGTCCCTTCTCCCTGCCACCATCCATCGGCAGCCTCTTCTCCTTTGAGGTTCATTCCATCTAGACAATAATGATAGCATAATAATACTAATAACACAATCATTATTACATAACACAATGATATATTTATTGGTATAAATATATATTTGTTTTGTATAATAACTATATTTATATTTAGTACAAATATGTTTACATAATGACGGGTGCTTCATAAAGACTGATTCCAGCGTTTGTTGAAGATGCCTTTTTAGGAGAGTCTTTGTTGTTGACCAGTCGGTTCAGTTGTGTCCAACTCGTCGTGACCCCATTTAGGGTTTTCTTGGCAAAGATACTGGAGTGGTTTGCTATTTCCTTCTCCAACTCATTTTACAGGTGAGGAAACTGAGGCAAACAGGGTTAAGTAACTTGCCCAGGATCACATTGCTATTAAGTGTCTGAGGCCAGATTTGAACTCAAGAAGATGAGTCTTCCTGACTCCAGGCCTGGCGCTCTATCCACAGAGCCATGAGCTATCCTAGGAGAGTCTCTACTACCAGATATATTTCTACTTCTTTAAAATTCCATAGAATATTCATCAACTCAGTGTGCTTTTTTTTTTTCCAACAGAAACCTGTTTCCATCTAACCTCGTGGTAGCTGCATTCCGCACGGTAAGAATACTTTTTTTTTAATGAAATATAAATTGTTAAAAACTTAAAAAACAAAGAACTTGATACCTTGAAGGAAGCTATACAAAATTTTGCTGTGTTATTAACTTAAGATGGGCCTCAACAAGGGTTGGATTGAAAGCGCTGGGCTAAGTTTTTTTGGTTGTTGTTTTGTTTCTAAAGAGCTAAGCCACTCAATCTAAAACATGCATAAAGAGGTAAATCCTTCTCTATGTGTCCCCAAGTATTCTCATGGTTTTTCAGAGGAGGGTTTGTTCATCTTTTTCCTTAGACAAAATTGAAAATTATGACCTGTATTAGATTATCTATATAGATGAACCTATAAAAGTGTGACAATGGTTTTCAAATTAAAGAAGGACCAGACTTTAAGAATATCTCAGAGAACCAAACTGAGTCCATTGACTGACAGTACATTTCCTTTTTTTTTTTTTTTTTTTTTTGGCCCAAAAACTTTTGCTGCTTCTTTTTTGGCACAAAAAAAAAAAAAAGCAGCAAAAATTTTTATTTTAAAGTAAAATTATGCAGGCTTATAATTTTTTATAATTTATAATTATATGCTTATAACTATTTGCATTTAATATATGCTTATAATTTTTATAATACATGCTTATAATTATTTGTATTTAAAATTATTTCATGGATAGAAGAAATTACTTAAATTACAGTAAAATAATTTTTAAAATGTCATCAATTGACTTGCTCAGTTCTAGTGTTAAGGACTGTTTGTTTATAAAACCAGGAGGTCGTATGTAAATGTGTGATGCTGAGCTCATGTGTGGCTTAAAATGAAGATGGAAAGCTTAAAATGCTAGATGGAAAAATGGAAGGTTTATGGAACCTTTCTGTGTGTCTCAAGGCAAGTTTCTTTTCTTTTATGTTGATCACAAATCTAACAGAATATTTCAGAGTCTGTCAAAACTCAGGAAGCAAAAATTTATGTTAATAAGTGGTGTATACCAGCAGCTGGCCCTAAAGCTGTCCCCAAGATGCTTTTGGTGTTTCAGCATCCAAATCCTCTTGGATGGCGCCCAAGGTAGACTCTAGCTTACTCTCTATCGTACTCTCCAGTAAGTATTACTACAGTGAGATTCTAAGAGGTATATTCCCAAGCCACAGATAGGACAAAAATTAGGGAATGATTATATTTCAGATAGGGTAGGAAGATGGCACAGTGGATAGAGCACCAGGCCTGGAGTCAGGAAGACTCGTCTTCCCGAGTTCTAATATGGCCTCAGACACTTCCTAACTGTGTGATCCTGGGCAAGTCACTTACCCCTGTTTGCCTCAGTTTCCTCATCTGTAAAATGAGCCAGAGAAGGAGATGGCAAAACACTCCGGTATCTCTGCCAAGGAAACCCCAAATGGGGTCACGAAGAGTCAGGCAGGACTGAAAATGATTGAACAACAACAACATTTCAGATAAACTTGGCAATAAAGAGTCAGAAGGAATATACTACTGCTAATCTACCTACCCAGTGTAGAAAGCAAAGACAAATGTTAAATCAGCCCATAAAAATAATATAAAATCCCTGGACTTAAGTCAGATCTGAAATGAGGAGTCGTCCTGTCTCTGGTTTAAGCCATGGCAGGTTGATAAGTGAACTTTGTTATGCTATGGAATTAATTATTAATAGAATTAATCATAGCTAAATCCTACTAATATATTTTAATGGTGATATAACGTGCAACTCAATGGAATAAAATTTTGCAGAAGCCTCCTTGAACTCACTTGTTCTACAGATATGAGAAGTTTTTGATCCTATGTTTTGCTCCCGCTTCCCCCCCCACCCCTTTCTGGGACTACTTGGGGAAGTGACGTCTAAGCCTCCATCTTATTCTGTTTGCAACTTTTGTCTCGTTTTCAAAAGCAGGACTTGGGTTAGAACAGCTGAGTCAGAAGTCCTCCCTTATGACTCAGCTCGGATGATAACGAGGATGGCTGCAAGACAATTATTGATCTGTTATAGCTACACACTCATATGAATTCCGTAACCACATGAACTGAGGCTTGTTTTTCTCTTGCTTACAGTACGCAACTGACTACAAGAGAGTCATCCATAATACGACCTTTGGAAACATCACTTTAGAAAAGGTAATGACAGCTGTGGTCACTCACTCCTTCTGAAAAATATTTGTCATTTTGCAGAAGTTTCTTCTTGCCACCTTTCCCCTGCATTGTTCGACAGTCAGATTTTCCAAGGCTGTATTTGGCTGAAAGGTCATAACTTCAGACCAAACAATCTGTTTGGTCACTGATGAGGATGGTGACCAGAGGACCAGAGGCTGGTTAGGGAACTGGGCAGGGAGGGGCGGGAGGAAGAATTTGTGGAACAAGCACATTTCCGTTCTTCAGACAAAGCAAAAGATTATTCAGAAACACAATTATACTTGTTCTTTAGACTCTGTTACCCAAAGTCATGTATTTCTAAGTTCAGCCAGTATCAAAGCATTGTGGAATCCCAAGGTAAAGGAATTTTTTAAATTCATCAAACCACACAAATAACTCTTGTGGTTTGAAAGTTATTTCTGCTTTGCCTCCCAGGTTCATTACGTGGGTTTCCAAAATTTGCTCCCACGTTCTACAGATTTAGCTTGATGAATCCTCATGAATCTAAGACTGTTCAGGGAGTTTAACAACAACAGCAACAACAACAACAATAATTTGTATAACACTTTCAAGTTTGCAAAGCAATTTACGTATTTTATTTACTCCTCACTATGACCCTGTGAGGTAGTTGCTAATATTATTCCCATTAAGCCGATGGTGGAACTGAGGGGAAAGAGGTTAAGTGACTTGGCCAGGGAATCAACTAAATTAAAATGGAATTAGGAAATATTTAACAAGAAATAAAAATACAGTAAAACATAGATAATATTACATTTTAAAACTAAGTCAGTATGTGGCCCAGAGGGATCCTTATGTATGGTTTGTTGTTTTTAAGTATTAAATTTAAGTATCTTAAGTATTAAAATTTTTAAAAATATTAAGTATTTTAAGTATGATGTTTTTAAGTGTTAAAATTTAAAAAGCATTAAGTATTTCGTTTTTAAGTATTAAATTTAAGTACTAGGCATTTCATTCCTGGTCTACCAAGGGAATGGGCTTGTGAGGCTGAGCCCTTTTAAGGTAGAGGCTGAATAGCCATCTGTGAAGGATGTTGCATCGGGAATTCTTGCAATGAATGAGTGGGAGGTGAGACCACATAGCCTCTCAGAGCCATTCTGACCCAAAGAGTCTGCCCTTTGATGTCAAGATTTTTCCACAACTTTTTGTAGTCAATCAGATGGAGCTGGAAGAAAACCTAGGGATGATCTAATCCAACCCTTTCATCTCCCGATGACAAAACTGACGCCCAGAGAAGCCAGTTGAGGCATCCAGGGTGACCAAGGCAGCAAGTAGGAGGGCTGGAAATTGACCCACATCTTCGGATTCTAGGTGCAGGGCTCCTTCCCTTTTTGATCAATGCACTGGACAGAAGACTACACCTGCTGTCTAATTAGCAGCTCTAACTGATCACCCTTGACCTCCTAGGAGAAAAGCAATTCCTTCAGTAGCAGAAACTACATCAGATTCTTCCAAAGCAAAAGGTTGGCCCTGGAATTGAATCAAAATCAAGCACCACGGGCAGCAGCTATTGTCAGACCGTTTGGGGACTGCTTAACTTACTAAGTGACTGCCTCAGTTCATAGGCCTAATTTAGTCTTATATGTTTTCCCCCATCCAAAAAGCACCGTTTGTGTTTCCACAAGCTCAGAGATGGTCAAGTCCAATTCCCTCATTTTACAGATGAGGACACTGAGGCGGAATTCAAACTCAGGATTTCCTGACTTTAAGTCTTGCATTCTGTCCTCTACTTCACTGAGCTGCCTTGGTGCCTGAAACTTATAGGTTCTGATTGACTGATCTGTAAAATGATAGGATTAAACTAGATAATTTTTATAATTCTATGATGGTCTATTGTGATATCCTAGCCCTGTTGAATTAGGGTCATCTCTGCCCTCTCTTCAAATACCAAGTGGCACTTACATTTTTTTCAAATGGAAGTAAGTTAAAATTCATTCTCTTTTTCTAGAATTTCAGGACACCCAAGGGAGCTGGAGAAACTCTAGGGGTGTCAGCAAACCAGGGCTGATGTTCACTGGTTTAGGGACTCTTGGCATGGAAACAAAGAACGCAAATTAAAAGAAAACCTCCATTTTAAATTTCATTCCTTGAAATATGCTCGTAAAGCCGAAGAGGGAAATTGGTTACTATAGTACTCAGCACAAGAATCTATACTGCCGTTAGATGAATGCAGACAATCAGTATAATTTGTAAGCTTTTTTCCTTCTTCTGGGTACCAGTGGATACTATGCTTTGTGTTAACTCCTCGTGAAACCCCCGGAAAACCTGAACCCAGCGTAAAAATAGATGAACAGGAAAACTGACAACCATACTTTTTGTTCACCTTCTAGGGAATTCTGCTAACATTCAATTCAACAAGTATTTTTATCTACCTTGCATTTATCTAGTACAGGTTGAATCTCCCTTCCCCATTAGAATGTAAAGCTTCTTGAGGTCAGGCATTGTTTTATTTTTTTCTGTCTCTTCCAGCACTTAGCACAGTTCCTGGTACTTAGTAGGTGCTTAATAAATGCATGTTGAATTGAACATTGAATAAATGAATGAAAAGTATCAACTAAGCACTACTATGTACAAAGCTATAGAAATACGAGTAGAAAAACAAGCCAATCTCTGCTCAAGCTTCCATTCAAATGGGGAGATAGCACATTAATTCTAGGATCATAACTGTGGATCTTGCCTCTACCCCTGTATGTGACTTTAATCACAAAACTTGTTAGGTTTCTTCACCTGATTATCTCATATCAGGAATCTGGCTAAAGAGAGCCCCAGCAGAAGAGCACTGAAGTCAGGAGACCTGGGTCCTGATTTTAGCTTCGTCACTAATTAGGTATATGACCTTGTGTAAATTACTTCCGGAGGTAGGGATTGAACTAGATGATATTTAATTTCCTTTCTAACAAAAATTTTATAATTCTATGAGCTGGAGCTCCAATTTCCTGTGTTAGATTTGGTATTAATGGTACTTGCTAATTAGATTTTGTGTTAATCTATTCTTTCTCACCCAGAGTTATAAAGTAAATTAACAGACAAGAATCAATCAAACCAGTCAATGAGTTATATTTTTGCTCATGTAGAATCTAGCTATAGAACCGTACACCAATGTTCTGTCCAACAAGGTTCTGAATTTCTTTCTGATTCACTCTTCTAATGATAAAGATTTTGGATGCTAAGAAAGACATGTTATTGTTTGTCCTTCACTTTCCAAGAGGACCAGTAGCATCACAGGGTGATGTCTTGATGTGCACATCAGTTAGATTTAAGTGAGGCAGAGCTGCACAAAGCCATCAGCCTCACTATCTCTTCCAGAGTCATTGAAGTCCAGTAGCAAGAGAGACATGGATATTTGAGAATGTAACTGAAAGGATTATAATACAAAGAATTCCTCTCATATGGCAACTCTCCCTCTGAAAACAGTGCTAGGAGAAAATGGATTTATGGGGTGGTTTGGTAATAATCCAGGGACAGTGATGGGACTGCAACTGTGGTTTTGCTGGGATGGGGAGTGCCCATTGAGAAACTTTCTCTACCATTGCTGGTCAGTGATATCTGAGCAACTTGGAGTCTCAGAGTTGCCTAGCACAGGGGTATCAAACTCAAATAGAAATGCGGGCCACTAAACCATAAAACAGCTAGGTACTGCAGTGGGGTAGAGCACCACATCTGGAATCAGGACGACCTGAGTTCAAATCTGGCCTTAAGACACTTACTAGCTGTGTAACCCTGGGCAAGTCACTTAACCTTGTTTGCCTCATCTGTAAAATGAGCTGGAGAAGGAAATGGCAAACCACTTCACTATCTTTGCCAGGAAAACCCCAAATGGGGTCATGAAGAGTTGGACAGGACTGAAAATGACTCAACAGCAATGGCACCTACCTCACAGGGTTGTTGTGAGGATCCAAATAGGTAATATTTTTAAAAAGTGATTAGCACAGTGCCTGGCACATAGTAGGGGTTTAATTAAATGCTTATTTCCTTCTTTCTTTCCTTACTTCCTTCTCCTGTTCTTCCTCTTCCCCCTACTTTATCTGCACTGTTTGTTCACCAAGGCCACCAAAACGTTATACAACTCAGTTTTCTTAAGACGCTTCTCTGAAGAATGGCTCTATCTTCATTCTCTGTCTCTACTCTTTTCATGCCTGCAGCCACCTTATTTAATTTACCTATCACAAGCCTTCTCTCCCATTTCTGCCCTTCTGCATCTTGTAATCTCTCTCTCTCTCTCTCTCTCTCTCTCTCTCTCTCTCTCTCTCTCTTATCTCTCTCCTCTCTCTCCCTGTCTGTCTCTCTGTGTGTGTGTCTCTCTCTCTCTTCCTCCCAGTATAATCTCCCATTTTTCTGTGATGGCATTTCATGTGACTGGTCCTCAGCCACAGCTTCTATTTCATTACTTCCCATTCAGCCCTCTCAATTTTCTTTTTCTATCTCCTGAGCTTCCTCCCTCTTCCTTTTGAAGGTCCCTTTAAAGAGGAAGATGAAATAAAACCGAATCTTTCTTTCTTCCCCATTGCAATGTTTCTGTCTGGCCTGAAAACCCTACGGGGCAGATTTAAATATCTCCAGTTTTCTCACCTAAGGGTGAGGCCTGACCACTCTATCTCCTCAGTCCTTTCAGGTCCCTTATGGCACAGAGATCGAAGGGATGAATATCTTGGGCTTGGTCCTCTTTGCCCTGGTCTTGGGAGTGGCCTTGAAGAAACTAGGCTCAGAAGGAGAAGAGCTGATCCGTTTCTTCAATGCCTTCAATGAGGCAACAATGGTGCTAGTGTCTTGGATCATGTGGTAAGTGCAACTTCCTTCTCATATCCCCCAAGTGCGCCCTGTTCTTCCCCTAGATAAGAATGTAGAATTAGACACTGGATCAGACGTTCAGGCCACTTAGCCATAGGTTCCTTCTATGACCATGGTACCAAGGAGTATGTCATAAGAGGGCACATAGGCGGTGTGGTATAGGAAGAGGAACGTCCTCTCTAAAATGAGATCTGGATTCAAATCATCTGGGAAGAGTACTGCCTGTGCCAGTGTGACCTTAGGCAAATGACAACCTCATTGGACCTCAGTTTCCTCACCTGTCAGATGAAGGGGTTAGACCAGATGACTTTCAAAGTCCCTTTCAAAGAACTATGAAGTTTGAATGCAGATCGAAGTATACTATTTCCTCTTCTTTCTTTTTTCTTCTGTTTTGTTTTGTTTCTCCTTTCTTGTGGTTCCTCCTATTGGTTCTAACTCTTTACAACATGACTGATGTAAAAATATGTTTAGGAGGAATGTATATGTAGAGCTTATGTCAGACTGAATGCCATCTTAGGGAGGGAAGGGGAGAAAAAGTAAAATTCAAAAGCTTATGGAAGTGAATGTTGAAAATTATTTTAATTAATTAAAAATAAATTAATAAAAAAAATTTTTTAAAAGTCCCTTCCAGCTATAGATCTGTGACCCTATGATCTTATTATTTGTCCCCCCTGACTTGAACCTCAAAAGTACCCCATGTGCAAAAACCAAATTGCTTCCTCATTTCCCATTTATCATATCAATAGCCATACTACTGATAATAGGTATAGCTTTTTCATTGATAAATATAGCTAAACCTATTTTGAATCTGTTTATATTTTCAATCTGTACCATCTCTTGGTAGCAGTGAGTTTTGTAAGTTTGTAATTTATTGTATAAAAAAGTTTTGTTCTAAAACTACCTGTTTCAAGGACCCTTGTTCTGGTCTCTAGGAATTAAGGGAACCAACCATAACCAGTGTGTACCTTATTTATACTCTTCATAATTTTAAAGGTTTTGATTATATCCTGTCATAGTTTTTCTATACTAAAGGGTCTTGGTTCTTTTTTTATTCACTAAAAATGATTAAAAATCATTTCCTGCTTGGAAAGGTTGGGAAATAAGGGTTTTCCCATTTGACTTTGACTTGACTCTCAATTTCTTTTTTTTTTTTTAAATTCTGAATTTAACAAACTCCAAAAAATGGAAACTTTTTCAGTAGGATAATATGTGAAACTTATACTCTCCAATACATAGTTTACTTTTTTTTGAGCATATAATAAATTAAATATGCTACTTGGAATCAACTCAAACTGGCTCTCCAAAAGTAACTATTAATTTTTATTAATGTCTTCAAGAGCTTGACCCTTAAAAACAAACAACACACCACGCTCTGATTTTTGGCCCCAGTGACCAGGGCAATTTGCTTATCAGAACCCAATTTCTTTGTGTGTTCACTTCCACCCGTCATCAGTCATAACATCCGGGACTTATCCTCCTGCACCTTTCATCCACAAAGCACTTTCTTCTTTGTTAACCCTTACAAGATTCCCAGCCCTTCCCTTTCTCGGAGAGATTCCTGGAAAGGAAATGTTTTAGTTACTATTTTATAACTGAAGGAGGAAAGATGCTTAGAAGCTGGTGGAAATTCTAAGAATGGGTGGGAAGGCAAGGAGAGCCCACAGGGTCCCATGATTATCTTTCCCAACTTGAAACATCCTGTGTTGGTTTTGATTTTACCCATGTAAACATTTAAGTTTTGTATCACTGGTGTTGTTCGGGGAAAGATCTGACACTTTTGGAAAGGAAAAAGCTAGTGGGGTTTTCAAATCACATGTTAGTAGTTTGAGGTTATTGGCTTGTTGTCTTCCCAAGGGTGGTGGCCTGGAGTAGCCCTCATCAAGAAGGCAACACTGTCTTATTAAGCCCATTTTATCTATAACCAACAGTTGCACAGTCATTCATTCTTTCAAGTGGATGAGCTGGTGATGCTCAGTTAGGCAAGTCCCCAGGCCATCCAGGGTCAGTTTGATATTTTTTTATTCAAAAAACAGACCTTACATAAAGCCGCAATTTAAAATATTCTGAACATCAGGTGCCTTGACCAGTTCTAGGAAAGATATTAATCAGTTTTACTATTAATTCTTCTTTCCATTCAACCTATCTTCTCTCCCCCTAATTACATAAAAACCAAAGTTCCCTGTTCATTTCCTATAATGAATAAAACAATTGAAACTATAGTCTTTCTAATCTAGATGATTAACTGACTTTGCTTAATGTAACTCTTCCTATAATAATCTCTGCCCTAGGAACATGCATGGCATTATTTTAAATAGATGTACACACCAAAATCAGCAGACCTTTCACACAAAATCGGTTTCTCATGTCAGAAAAGAATCAGAAAACCTTCCCAAAAGATGTAGATTTGTGTCAGTTTTGCATCACAGCAATTCTATTAAGTGGTTGTTAATCCTTTGTGTTTATCATTAGGGAAAAAGGCAACAGAAGATAAATATAACCAAGGTTACAAAACAGGCAGAAGCTACCTGTTAGCTCCCAGGGTCTGATCTCATCCTTCATTACACTTTGAAAAGATATTTTATTGAATTACATTCTTTAGGACAAAAAAGGTCATATAGCCTGAGGAAGAAGCCAAGTTTCTAGTCATGGGTAGGCTGCCAGTTAATCATGACCTTGAATCAGTCAATGAATAAAATTCTTCTTCAGTTTTCTGGTCTGTAAAATAGGAAAAAATGCTTCTGACCCTGCCTTACCTCATCATGGATATTGTTCTTTGCTCATATTTATCAATCGGGAAATAGTCAGTAGAGTTTAAATAACTAACAGAAGTCACAAAGCAAGCAGCAGCTCAAGCAAAATTTAAGCTCGGAAACCCCAGAGTCTGGCCTCATACTTTCATCCCACTAGGAGAAAGTAATTCTATTGAGTTCCATTCTTTAGAAAGACGAAAGTGACATAGTCTAGAGAAAAAGTTAAAATTCTACTCATGGATCTACTACCAGTTAATCATGACCGTGGAACAGTAAGTAAATCAAACTCTTCCTCAGTTTCCTGGACTCTAAAATGGAGGAGATACCACCAGTCCTATCCTACTTTAACATGGATATTGCAAAGATAGGGAAAAAATAAGCAAGATGAAAGCCCTCTGACTCCTATAGCAGAAAGACACTACCTTCATAGATACTTCTAGTCTGAAAGGTCAAATACCTTTTCCAAAGAGTCTTTTATATTTATCCTATAGGTATGTTCCTGTAGGTATTATGTTCCTTGTTGGAAGTAAGATTGTAGCAATGAAAGACATTGTCACCTTGGTGACCAGCCTGGGAAAGTACATCTTTGCGTCAATTCTGGGTCACATCATCCATGGAGGGATTGTTCTGCCACTCATTTATTTCGTTTTCACACGGAAAAACCCATACCAATTTCTTCTTGGACTCCTCACACCATTTGCAACAGCCTTTGCAACCTGCTCTAGGTAAGTAATCTCCAAGTGCCATTGTTAACTAATGCAAACTATAAACTGAGGAAGTTTCTATGTCCCCACTCAATTCCCCCAAACATCCATGTACGTGAAGAAGAACAGAGATGGGGAGAGTTACCTAAACAGATTCTAGGGCCGTACAGTGGTTAGATTCTTCTTCTCACTTTTAGTTGTTAACTACATCGCTTCATTAGTTACCTTGGGTTATATTTTTGGATTTGTCCATTCAATTCATTAAATATCTGTTAAGCCCTGTATGCCAAAGATTGGCCAAAAATGTTCTGAAGATACAAAGACAAAAACGGAATAGCCTTGGCCTTCACGGGGTTTGTGCTCTACCTACTCCTGGGATATGACATATATACATGTACACAATGAAATACAAAGTATATATAAAGTAGTACAAACTAATTGAGAAACAGAGAGAGAGAGAAACACTAATGAATGGAGGTACGGTAAGGTAGGACAGGATTCAGGAAGGCCTCCATGCAATTTCATTGGCTGTCCCTGGAATTCTCTCAGTCCTCATCTCCACCTCTTGGCTTCCCCCGTTTGCTTCAAGTCCTAGGTAAGACCCACTTTCTTCAAGAAGCCATTCCCAATCCCCCTTAATGCTAGTGCCTTCTCTTTATTGCTTATCCCCAACTAATCCTGTATATCTATCTTGTATATACATAGTTGTATTGCTTCTTGAGGGCAGGGAGTGACTTTTGGTTTCTTTGTAGCCCCAGCACTTAGCACTGTACCCAGTACATATTGGGTGCTTAATAAATGCTTTATCGATTTCCTTTTGCAGACGGTAGCATGTGGGCTGTGCTTGGGAAAGAAATTGGGAGCTCTAGTTGATGTAGATGGGGAGAGGCAAATGCATTCCAGACATACGGCATCAAATTCCCTTCTCACCATTCATGTCTAGAGGGAGCAGACAGAAGTAAGCTGGAATAGCCTACTTATTTGCTCAAAACAGCAGCATGCCTTCACTGCAAGCCAATGAAAACTTGGCCTGTGTAAAGTAAGCAGATTAACTCAGTAAGGAAACATTCTGAGTAAGTGTCTGGGGTGGTCAAACTTGAGCTCACTGAGAGGTGCTCAGGAGGTGTGCTTTTGGCCCCAGAGGGGAGAGCTCAGACATGGGAAGCCACTGTATTTATCCTCACATCACATCATCAAGCATTTAGTAAATACTCATGATGTACTCATGTACCCTGGAGATGTAAAGAAAGGCAAAAGGACAGGCCCTGTTTTCAAGGAGTTCACAGTTTAATGTGGGACAACATGCAAACAACTGTGTACATCTAAGATCAATACAGGATAATTTGGAGGTAGTTGACGGAGAGAAGGCTCTAGCATTAAGGAGGCCTGGGAATGGCCTCTTGTAAAAGGTGGGACCTTAATTGGGACTCACAGGAAGCCAAGAAGTGGAGACGAGAAGGGAAAGAGTTCCAAGTGCAGGAGAGAGTCGAGGAAAATGGCCAGAGCTGGGAGATGTTGTCTTATGCAAGGAACATCAGCGAGACCAGTGTTGGTGACCTCCATGTAAAGAAAGTCTTTCTAACAATTAGAGGTGTTCCGAAGTAGAATGCACTGTTCTAGGAAGTAGGAGCTCCCTTCCCATGGAACAAGATAGGATTAGAGAGCCACTTGCCAGGGATATTATAGAAAGGATTCTTGTTCAGGTATAGGTTAGAGGAGATGACCATTGAACTCTCATCCAACTCTTAATTCTCTGAGGTATAAATTTAGGAAATAAGACAAAAAGATGATGGTAGGATATTTACTGCCTATCCACAATAATGGTATTAAATAGTACCAAGGGATTGCTTAGTTAATATTAAAGGAGGGGGTGGACTTCATTAGCTTTTTTTCTAAATTACATTTTATGGTTTTTACTTAAAAATCCATTTTCTTCTCCCTACCCCCCCAACTCCTCATTGAAAAAAGAAACCTTTGTAACAAATATGTATGGTCATGCAAAACCTTTTCACCACTGGCCATGTGCAGTAAACATGTGTCTCACTCATCACACTGTGAATCTGTCCCCTCTCTGTTAGCATTCTTCGTCATCAGTCATCCAGGAGTTATGGTTGATCATTGTCTTAATCAGAGTTCTTAAGTCTTTCCAAGTTGTTTGCCTTTATAATGGTATTGTTATTGTATAAGGTGCTCTCCTGGTTCTCTTCATCTCACGGCATCATTTTATATAAGATTCTTCCTAGCTTTCTCTGAAACTCTTCAAAAACATTGATAAATTTTTTTTAAAAAGAAAGAAGAGGTAAAAAGTAAATCTGTTATGCTAGGAATCATTTTAAGACCTACAAAGAGATTCTGAATTGGACTTGACCAGACAGGCTATTTCCATCTTTCTTGCTTTTGTTCATTTCCAGCTCAGCAACCCTCCCATCCATGATCAAGTGCATTGAAGAAAATAATGGCGTAGATAAAAGGATCAGTAGGTTCATCCTTCCCATTGGGGCCACCGTGAACATGGATGGGGCAGCCATTTTCCAGTGTGTGGCGACTGTGTTCATCGCCCAGCTTAACAATGTGGACCTGAATGCAGGACAGATCTTCACTATTCTGTAAGTGACTATCTTCTCTGAAGCTGGGTTAGAATTTTAGGGATTTTTCCGGTAAAATTTTTTCAAAAACATTCCAAATATGAAAGAATTCGTGGGCAAAAAAGACTTTTTCCAATCTACACGTCAACCCGAAAGGCTGATGTTGTCTTTCTGAGGCTCAGATGTAACATAAGAATAATAATAATAATAATAATAATAATAATAATAATAATAATAAATCGACTCTCTGAAAACAAGGGTGTTACAAAGGGGGTTAAGGTTTAACAGTAGCTCACAGGGGAGGGCAGAGTATGCTGTTCCCTGAGGGAAGCTCCTCAGTCATTCCCCCACCGAGGTCGTGTGTCTCCAAAAGTGTGGCCTCTGGTTCAGCAGCTGCAACCATATTTATTTTTAATTCAGCAGAGAGCAAGGCATATGACAAAAGCAAGAGTGTGGTTAGTGAGTTCGTTAAGGGGAAGGGGAAATGCACTACGCAGGGAAAGGGGGTCAGCCAGTGTGGCCGCTTGCTAGGAGGAGGTGGGGTGCAGATGTCGGAATCTAGAAGAACAGGCATTGAGGGTTGGCTTATCTGCACATTGGCGCCCCCTGCTGCTTCTGGGAACCGGGGAGGGGAGTCAGCCCTCGCTGCCAGCTTGTCCTACTTGGATATGTTAACTGTTAAGGCCACAGCACATAAGCAACTCCGTATTTATATTAGTACATAGCAAACTTCACACAATAATCCCATGACACAGGGGATTGGATCAGGGGATTGGATCAGGGGATCCCCGCAAGGCTCTTTCATCTTCAAGTTCTATGATTTGGAAATGGGAGGAAGGGGAGGGATTTTTCACACCACGTCCAACATTCTGTGAATAACCAGTGAGTTGGTCAATGGAAAAAGGTCTCACACTTAGAGCAGAACATACTTAGGGCAGCCAGGTGGTACAATGGGTCTAGAGTCAGGAAGACCTAAGTTCACATCCGACCTCAGATACTTAATAATTGTGTGACCTTGGGTAAATCACTTAAGCTATCTGCCTCAGTAGTCTCAACTGCAAAATGGGGGTAATAATAGCACCTACCTCCCAATGATGTTGTGAGGATCAAATAAATCACTTATTAGCACAGTTCCTGGCACATAGTAGGTGCTATATAAATATTAGTAATTATTACTATTAGTAGTTAGGGTACCAACAGTTAATGTTAACAAGCAGGCTCACAATGGTGTGATTCTAGAGCACTGTCTGCTGCCTAGCGCCATTTTGTATCCTTTGTTTGAGAGAACACCATGGCCAAGGAATTCCTCCCCAAGTGGCCAGACTCTCGGGGACTAGCCTCTCTGTACTTAGTTAGGCTAAGGTCAACTTAGCCAGATTAATTTGAAGCCGACCTGGCCAGTTTCCAGGTCCCTGAAGCCTTTCCAGGAAAGGTAAAACCTGCCAGCTTTCCATCTGCTCAGAACTTCGAGAACCCAGCCTCACTGCACTGCACACCGTGATGAGGCGTGGGAGCCAGGCAGTCAATATATGGCTAATAATTACATGGTTCTCGAAGGCCATGCCAGCAGGGCACAAGCCTTCGCAGGTCCTCCCGAGCAGGAAAGGCGTCAAACACGGGTCTGGCAACAGGCTACGAGCCTGTTGTCCAAGGGAAAGACTAAGTTCGGAGATGCTTGTGTGATAATAACAATAGCCAACGCTTTAAGGTTTGCAAGACGCTTTTTTACGTGTGCTATTGTTATTACATTTGATCCTTACAATGATCCTGTGAGGTAGATGCTATTGTTATCTGTATTTTACAGAAGAGGAAACTGAGGCAAACAGAAATTAAGTGACTTGGCCAGGATCACAGAGACATTAAATGTCTAAGGCAGGATTTGAACTCATGTCTAATTGATTCTAAAGCACTGTGCCATTGAGATGGCCCATCACCAGGTGGACATCCTCCAGCCATTCACATACACATGTTAAGGTGTAGGGGAGTTGTGTGATCGGTATGAGCAGAGTGGAGTTCCCACCTTGACCAAATCATGGATCCTTCAAGTAATAATTAGATAATAATAATAATGTTTAAGTAATGATTAGAGCTGTTGTGGTAGATTGGTTGGTTATTGTCTTTTGTTCTCAAAGTGGACCAAAATGACATCACTATGCTAGGGTCAAGTTACAGTGTGTCCGACTGGGGCTGATCAGACCAACACGAGCTTGCAATGTTCTACTGCGGGTTGGGCACAAATAGGCCGTGTGAACAGTTGGGGCAGATTCTCTAAATTTGCGCAACCTGCATTTCCTTTGAGCTGTTTCAATTCTGCTTTGCTCCTAGAACACAGCACATTCTGTGATGTGGGCACGCGTGCTGGGCAGTCCTGTGCCAGTGTCTCCCATGCCACACAATCAATTCCAAAGTTCTTGAGAGAGACCTTGAGAGTGTCCATGTATCACTTCTTCTGACCACCTTGTGAGCACTTGCCCTGTGTGAGTTGTCCACAAAATAGTCTTTTGGCATTTGGCAAGCGTACATTTGGCATTTGAAAAACTTGGCCAGCCCATGGGAGTTGTGTTCTCCTCAGTAGAGTTTGAATGCGTGGCAATTTACTTCAAAGAAAGGACCTCAGTTTCAGGTATCTTATCCTGCCAGGTGATCTTCAGAGTCTTCCTAAGACAATTCAAAGGGAAGTGATTCCGTTTCCTGGCATGGCGCTGGTAGGCTGTCCAGGTTTCACAGGCATACAGCAATGACGTCGGCACAACGGCTCTGTAGACCTTCAGTTTGGTAGTCAGTCTAATACCTCTTCTCTCCCACACTTTCCTTCGGAGCCTTCCAGACACTGAGCTAGCTCCGGCATTGCGTGCATCAACCTCATTGTCAGTGTGTATAGAAAAACTCCTACGTATCCACTCCACTTTCTGCACAATCTGCCTAGTAGCATATTGTATGTAGCAGCAGTGACCACCTATGCCTTGCCCTCCCGCAGGGTGACTGCCACGGCTGCCAGCGTTGGAGCAGCGGGAGTACCAGCGGGAGGCGTTCTCACCATCGCCATCATCCTGGAAGCCATTGGGCTGCCCACTCATGATCTTTCCCTGATCCTCGCAGTGGACTGGATTGTGTACGTACCCACCCTCTGGGGCTGTGTGCAGATGGGAGGCAGCCATGGTGTGAGTCACGGGACCAGGGCTCAGATCCCACCTTTGCTACTTAATACCTGTGTAACCTTAAAAAATTCACTTCATGTCCCTGAGCCTGTTTCTTCATCTGAAAAATGAGGGTATTGGCTTATATGTCATCGGAGGCCTCCTTCAGTTCTATGTTTGTGTCCCTATACTCGTTTCTCTGATACCTTCTTTTATGGAACATCTGCTCTGTATCAAGCCCTGTCCTAGGCACAGAGAGGGGTGCAGCAAAAGGTAAGTCATGGCTGCTTCCTTGTAGGAGTTTACAGCCTAGCTGGGAGATAAAATTTCTGCATCAGGAAAGTCAAATAAAAGAGAGAAGACAAATAATCCTAACTATTAATATTTACATAGTCCTTTCAAACTCATAAAGTAGTTTGCACGCATTAAAGCCTCCCAGCAACCCTGTGAGGTCATTATTACAAATATCGTTATCTTCCTTTTAAAATGATGAGGAAAAGGAAGCACAGAGCTAAGAAATGTTATGGGTAGAATTTGAATCCAAGCTTCCTGATTCCACATCCTGTATCCACTACACCAGGCTCCCTCTCCTAAAGCCAAATGATAATTCTCAAAGGGTCATTCTCCACGGACTTGAAACACCCCAGAAAGAAGCCGCTCAAACTCTAACTGTGACCTCATAACCCTGGAGCCTAGAGAAACCGTGGAGTGTAATGGCTTGGTCAGGAATTCTACTTTGGCCCCTTATTGCCTGTGGGACCTTACACAAATTATCTAACCTCTTAAGGGCTGAGTTTCATCATCTGAAAAACCACGGGGGATGGATGAAGGGATCTTTAGGGTTCCTTCTAATGCCAGAGTTTTGTGGGGAGGGCTAATGGCATAGTCTTCCAGTCAACCGGGGCTAGAGGCAATCCCAGGGAACAAACGCTTAGGAAAAGTCCCAGCTACTGAGTGGTACCAACCACTAGAAAGAAAGGTGATGCTACTAAGGAAAGAATCTTTCCCCAGTTGGCTCCTTCCTTTACAATCCACTGATACACAAATAGAAGAGAGATTCCGAAAGGGGAAGGAAGCAACATGGTGGATGAGACCAAACAGTAATTTAGGTCTGCTAACCTCAGCAACATGGAAGGTAGGAGGACTTACTAATAAATGATATTTATGAACATAAAGCCTTAAGGTTTATAAAGCATTATAGGGTTAGAGTTAGAATTCAGGTTAGGGTTGGGGTTCAGTTTGGGTTAGAGGTAGGGTTCAGGATAGAGTTAGGGTTTGGGTTAGAGTTAGGTTTAGGGTTGGGATTAGGATTCCAGTTAGATTTAGGGTCTCACTTCACCCTCAGGTGTAGTAGGAAGTATAGGTGTTACTGCCCCAATTTTACAGATGGGAAAACTAGAGCTCAGAAAGTTGTCATTATTTGCTCATGGTTACGTAGTTAATCAAATGGTGGAGGATTCAAAACTGTCATCCATGCTGCCTGTCATTTAATATTTCAATAAGCTCATTTTGGGGGCGGGGTGAGGCAATTGGGTGTTAAGTGACTTGCCCAGGGTCACACAGCCAATAAGTGTCAGATTTGAACTCAGGTCCTCCTGACTCCAAGGCTGGAGCTCTATCCACTGCACCACCTAGCAGCCCCAACAGACTCTTAAATCAAGTTCTAGGTGTCAAGTTACTTGAGTCACATGTAGTCAGAGACTGTATAACATTGTGGTTTTGTTCATTTTACAGACAAGTAAGCTGAGGCACAGAGATGATGGGTCAACCTCCCCCTTTCCCTGTACTCCCCACAACCTAAGTTCCGAAATCCTGAATAGTACCTGGATCAGTCAATAAACATGTATCAAGCACCTACTATGTGCCAGGCTCTATTAAGTGCAGAAGTGGCTAAAGACAGTTTCTACTCTCAAGGAGCTTACGATCCAATGTGGGGAGATCACATTCAAACAAATATATACAAAGCAAGCTATATACAGATAAGTAGGAAATAATTTACAGAGAGAAAGCACTAGAATTAAACTGGTTTGGGAAAGGCTTCCTATAAAAGATGGGATTTTAGTCACTACTTAAAGGAAGCCAGGGCATTCAGTAGGTAGAGCTGAGTAGGGAGAATGTACTTTAAAAAAATTGTTTTCCAGCTTTCTGCTTTCCTTCCAGTCTTGGTTGCATTCGTTTTGTTTGTGCAAAACCTTTTTAATTTAATATAATCAAAATTATCCATTTTACATATAATGCTGGGAGAGTGTACTTTGAGTTTCACATCCAAAAACTGTTTCTAGGGCTTAGTGAGTGGAACTGACTTTTCTAAACCCTAATTTTTCTAGACACTAGGCTCATTGCTTCATATTTTAAAAAGAAACCAGTCTCTTTACTTGGCACAATTTACCTAGGGCTGAAGTAGACCCATGAAGCCAGTGCCTGAAGTTACCATTTCCTCCTCTTCTTAGGATAAGAGATGTCCCCGACTGGTTTGCTTTTTTTCCTCTTCTTTAAAGGGTTTCTCCTTCCTCCTGTACTAAAGAAATGGCTGTTTCTGAGGTAGCTGGTTAGGAAACAACTTGCTGTGAAATTGGTGAGATGAGGCCCTGAGTAAAGGCAACAGCAAAGAAGAAGTGTCACCCGCGATCCCAGGAAGGGACAATATCAATTACCATGTTGGAGGCAGGGGAATAGAGAGCTAGATGTGGACTCAGGCTTGAGTTCTAATCCTGTCTCAGACACGACACACATGGTGGGACCTGGGGTACATCCCTTAGGATTTTTCAAGCCTCCTTTCCCTTATCGATAAAACGAAGGCATTGGCCTTAGCAGCCTCTAAGGTTTCTTCCTTCCCTACATCGTTAACTCTGTGACACCTCTTCTTGTCTTTCTTTCAGCAGCAGGGACACCGTTCTTCTATTTTTACAAAGACTTTAGAAAAGTTAATCTCTCGGTTTTCCCTCTCCATAAAATAGGGTGAAGATAACCCTTGCCTCTCTCAGAGGGGTCCGGTTATAGGAGGCTCTGTCTATGAGAAGCCAGTTTTAACAGCCAAGAACTATTTGAGGGCCAGTTACTAAAAACAGATTCAGTGTTGGGATACATTGGAATCAGGAGACACCATACTCTTAGTTTATGCTGTCCAAAAACACAGCTTCTCCATAATCATGGCATTATAGATTTAAAGATGGAAGAGACTTTAAAACTATCTAACTTCTTCATTTTAAAGATGAGAAACTGGGGCTCAAACTGTGACCCGCCCTAAGGTAACATGGAGAGTAAGTGGCAGAGGTAGGGTTTGAACACAGAGCCTCCCAAGCACTGGGCATATATATGTGCGTGTGTGTGTATGCATATGTGTGTATTGTGTATGTATATGTGTGTGTATATGTGTGTGTGTGTATACATGTAATATTTTGTTGTATTATATGTGTTAAAATATAATCAATATTTTGATTAATATTTGTTTATAGTTATATATAATATAATAACATGTTGATATAAAAATGATTTTATGATATTATATATTTTACATTATATGTACTATAACCAATAGTTATAATACTGAGACAGGGAATGCTCCACTGTTTATTGTACATTCAGGATCAACGTGAGCAAGGTTTTGTCATAATAGCTCCTTGTTTTCTTTTTGGCCGTCCGCAGGGACCGTACCACCACCGTGGTGAATGTAGAAGGGGATGCCCTGGGTGCTGGTATCCTCCATTACCTGAACGAGAAGGCAACAAAGATGGTGGACCATGAACTCAGCGAGGTGAAAGTAGAGGCGGTCCCCAACTGCAAGTCTGAGGATGAGACCTCCCCTCTGGTGACCCACCGAAACCCAGCCCCCACTCCGGCCAGTGTCCCTGAGTTAGAATCCAAGGAGTCAGTCCTGTGAGCAATGGCGAAGCCTCATGCTGGGCCCACCAGAGGTGGTGTGCCAGTGGGTGGGCCCTGTCACATCTGGACCAAGCACCTCTTGGACCTTTGTGCCTCCCAAGGGATGCTTTGGGATGACACCTTAGACGATTTGTGTTACTTAGTGTGTGCCCTTGGGCTTCCCAGTGGAACCCATTTATCTTGAACCGGAACAAACACTTCCATATTTCTTGCTATTCATGTACAGATGCCGCTCTGTGTATGTACGTGTGTGTGTGTGTTTGCTCTTGTGTGTGCATACATGTGAATACCCACTTCTAAACATCATCCCCAAGACCTACCACCAGCACATGTCGATTAAATCTTAGAAAAGAACAGATATATTTTCCACTGAAACCTAGTTAGCTATGTGGGAAGGGCTGCCCTCCCACAAACCTGGAAGATATGTGGAGGTGGGGAGGCAGGGTATTGGTTAGAGTGTCCCCAGGGACTCCCTAATATTGTCTAATGAGTCAAAGCAAACAAAAAAATTGGCTTTCTCCCCTCTTGTCTCTCCCACTTCCCCTTCCAACCTCCCCAGCAAATGGAGTCACTAAACCAGGAGCATTCCAGTGTCATTTGGAGAGGTTGTACCATAAGATGAGTGCATGTGGCTTCTGTATCCATGGTCATGCTGTGCCAAATGAAAGCCTACTCACTGAGCTTCAGCATGGCTCACACGCCAGTCAGTGACATGGGGTCTCTAGTCTTCTAGGGAGACAGAGGTAGACTCCCTTCTCGCCCAGAGTGCCGACTAGCTCGGTCCACCCTCGACACCTGTCAAAGCTGATCGCTTCCCTGAGGTTGGCAAGCTATTTTGGCAATGCTGCCGCTGTATGTCTGGTAATTAATTCTGGTCTGACAGGTCACAGGATCACACTCTCTGTGGTGCTGTATCCATGGTGTAATGTCAGCTGTCTCATTTAGGGGTGTGTGTGTGAGAGAGAGAGAGAGAGAAAATTATGTATTTCATCCAAGTATTTTAATTCTGCTACTGCATTCCTTAGGGTGACACATTGCCAGGCACCACCAGAGACCAAGAAAGGGTACGGGTAATCCCAGGTCCCCTTGCTTTGATCTGAGTTGGCTGTTTTGAGTGGAAGCTAATGTACTTTAGAAGGAAATGATGGGAAAAATAATCAGAAACTGAACAATATGCCCTGAATTCCTCCAGTGATGTATTGGCTCCACCTGAATCCAACTTTGTGAGAGGTTTTGGTACATTGAGCAAAGAAGGCAAGGTATTCCTATTAGAAAGAATTAGACTCAAGAGGGAGGAGACCACAGATTTACTTCTGACTTTGGTACTTCATCTTTGTGTGACCTTGGGCAAGTCATTGTGCCTCATTCTTCTCCCCTCCCTCCCCAGTCTGTACAATGGGGATGATGATACGTGTCTTTAACCTACCTCACAGGGATTTGGTGAGGCCAGCTGAGTTCATCTAAGAAAAGACCACTGAGCTCTTTTAAAGGAAATATCCGGGAGGTAGTTATATTTAATGGCCAAGTGATGTCCAAACAGGCATCAATCCTAGTCATTCAGACTGATTTTTATAAGCAGAGCTTTGTTCCGTGTTGTGTGTATGTGTATGTGTGTAAACACAAACCTCCATTGTGTTTCATGAAATTTTGTTTTATGCTTTTTATAATGAGTTCAATCGAATCTGTTGCTGGATATTCTTAGTAATGCAAGGTTTCATCTCATTAATTCATTGTCATTCTCCCCTACCCCCTTGGTTTCTCTTCACTGGAGTGAATGAAAGGGCAGTTTTGTAATACCTGGCTTTGCTGAAGCTCACAGTTAAGAACAGTAATTAGGTGGGCCCCATTTCCCAACTCAAACTGGTCCAAATTCAGCCCTGGTTTTCTCCCTGTCCTTCTCACGTACCCTAAAGCTACAGGGGAAGGGCAAGCTTTCACAAAGATGCACTGTATCTCCAGTGCTTAGAACAGTGCCTGGCACATAGTAGGTGCTTAATAAGTGTTTATTGAGTGATTGATTGATTGAAAGGAGTAGAGGGGAGGATGATAGGACAGGGAGAATCCATCCCTCCCTCCTCCACATATCCTCTGTCTTTGTGTGTACTCTGGACCTTTGTATATGTGTGTACTTCTGCCCAGGCAGAAGGCAAGGAAGGAACCAGGGAGCAGGTAGAGGTGACAAGCAATTCTTGGTTCCCCCATACTCCAGAGAAAAGCCCTCTCGTCTAGCTGACTTGAAGCCAGCTTAGCTGAACAGTGCTCTCCTGAAGCTCTGTGACAGCCAAGGCCAGTGCCTTAAATGGGGAAAGGCAAGCAAGGTGCAGGCACGTTTTTCTCTCTCTTGGGCATAGAGGAGCTCACTGCTAGTGTCCTGGACTCAAAGGGGAAGAGACTCTAGTGGTTTTTAAACGATTAAATCTTCCCTTCCTGTTCCCCACTCTTCCTGCCCCAAAAAAGTATGTTGTGTGCACACTGGTGGTTTGCTTTTTGTTTTAGTTAACCATTGAAAAACAGTTTCTATCTATTTAGCTCATCCTTGCTTGGACTTTGGTCCAAACTGCTACAGAAATGAATGGCCAGATGCCCTGATTTGGTCCCCAATTTCCTCTTTCATTCACTCATTCAGCCAAAGGCAATTATGTTGTAGGAAGGAAAAAGCAGAGCTGGAAAAATGAAACCTAATCATATAATATGACAGTGCCTGTCCCTAGAAGCTGGGGGGGAAGAGAAGGGAAGTTAATCTACTCAGTTAATCAGCCCTCTTTGAGACACTGAAAGGAATGAGAATTGACAACTTCTTTGTGCTTTTGTCTGGCTCAAGCCTGTCAGGAGGTTTTTTGGTAGAAGATGTACAACTAGAATTAAGACATCACTCTCTGGGTGCCCATGACAAGGTCTTCCTACTTGTCCTTTTCTGATATTTGTTGTAAATGGTGGTCCTTTCTAATGGCTTTTTTGTGTATGCGTGTGCTTATGTATGTCACTTGCCTTAAAACAGAGCACAGTCTTTGGCAACAAATACATGGTATCTACTGGTTTCTGCTGCCTCTTTATCCTTCTCTATTCCACTCTTCCTGACAGGCCATGTTTTAAGATGAGATTTAATGGCATTATCACCAAAAGCAAATATCTATTGATCATCTTCTTGGGTGCCTTTGGTGAACCTATAGTGGGATTTTTAATGCTCTCCAGTGGCAATGAGGAGTATAATGTAGTATTTGGGGTGAAATGTAAGCTTCAAGTCTTGTCTCTGACACACACTAGCGAAGTAACCAGGAGGAGGTCACATAACCTCTCAGTGCCGCAGACAACTCCCGAAGAGTGTAGCCAGTTGCAACAGTGAAGGGACTTTACATGTTGGAAGTTGTCCACACCAATGACTTGAGTTCAGACCTCCAAAAAAATCCTTCATAGAAGAGCATATTACTCAGTCCTATACCAGAATACCATATGAGAACCTGGAGCAGTGTAAGCAAAGTTAAGGAAAGGGTAGCTATTGTAACAGGCAGCTAGATGGTACAGTGGATATAGCACCGGGTCTGGAGTCAGGAAGACTCCCCTTCCCGAGTTCAAATCTGGCCTCAGACACCTAGTATCTGTGTGACCCTAAGCAAGTCACTTACCCCTCTTTGCCTCAGTTCCTGATCTGTAAAATAAGCTGGAGAGGGAAATGGCAAACCACTCCAGTATCTTTGCCAAAAAAACTCCAAATGTGGTCATGAAGAGTCAGATGTGACTGAAAAACAAAGCTATTGTGACATAACAAAGTCAAGATGTAATAATTAACTTGCCACTACTGAATCTTGAATTTCCTCCCTTTAAAAAAATTAGGAAACAACTGAACAATTTTGGATTGCCATTGGCACTAGCGTGGATCTCCAGGTCAACTTTCTGTTTTGACTGGTAGGTTGAGTCATCTCATAACAACTCCAATTAGAGCTAAAGATTTGGGATGGAAAAAAAATGGCCAACCCCTGAACTGGTGGTGTACACATTCCTTTCATTATTCTGTGCACAAAATTGCAGTACAACTGAAAAGAACCTGTACAGTGATAAAACAACCTTTCAATAATAAAATTAGTCCGCAAGTTTACCCTGGAAGATTGGAGGACTGGATTTCAAGTGATGTAGCTATGAAGGGAGCAGATTTAGGCTAATGTGTAATATCACTTGCTATAGATTTTGGTCTCTTCACTTGACACTGGAGTTGGCCATGTTTTCAGTCAAAACATAGAGTTGAAGAGAGAGAAGCCCATGTCCGTAAGGAGACAAAAGTGGCCCCGTCAGCTTGTGATATTTTGAGGGGTGACTTTACTCTTATCACTGTAATGGTGGTGAATATTTATTTCAAAGTTGAGGCTTTCGGGAGTAGAAAGCTTCAAAGGATTCAGGCTCATGGGAGTGACTCAACTAAGAGAACCAAGCTCTCCTCACTGGTTTCTTCTGGAACAAATGCAAAGGATGCTGGTAATTCTGGTTTCTGATTTGGCATCCTTAAATTAATTTGACCATGGTGGGGGGGGGGGGCATATGCCCAGGAAGGCGAAAATATTTTCATTGAATAAATTCAGCCAATCAAGTCTCCTGAGATGTTAGGAAAAGGAATAACAATTTTAATTTCCTTTTCCATTCCTGTCTTTTGCAAGAGGTTTTGGTACAAGATAGAAACTAGAACCAGGATGTGATTCTCTCTATATTTATGAAAAATGTTTCCTTGCTATCTCCTTTCTATTTGCAAATGCTTTTTGAGCACTTGTTGAAAGTCTTCTCTCTGCCTGAGTCAACTTAGCTCCAGGTTGGCCTATTTTGAAATGCTCAGAGTTAGCATTACTATGGTCAGGGGGCTTCTAACTTGGACTGATTTAAGCCAGATGTGAAAAGATGGCCCATTTCATCCTCTATTAAACAGATACCCACTCCTATAACATAGGATCTTTACCCTTTTGGTAACTCAGCCAGTGCATAGTAGAAAATGGCAAAGGGGAAGTATCTCAACGGCATGTTTTATCTATTGGCTGATTGTTGGGCCCAGTCCGAGGCTGTGGTTCACTGGTTGAAAATTACTAAGTCCAAACATCTATGGTAACCTCTGCCCTTATGTAAGCTAGTTCAGCCAAGGCCACAGATAAAGGTAGCCTAAAAGGCAGAGAGGTGGATACTAAGCATGGCAGAAAAATGTACGAAGTCTGCAAGCGAGAGGACAGTTGGTATCTGAAGCATTTCTGGGACTTCATCCTGCTGCTAGCCAGTATAGAGAGAGCACCTTTAAATAAAAGTTTGCAAAAGGAATGCCCAGGAAACTTCCAAAAACATAAATAAGTCCAGCTGGCTGTCATGAGTAATTCTCCTAATTAGGTTGTAAAACCTCTAGATCAAGGTCTGTCTTCATTGATGCATGATGAATGTTTAAAACAACACTAGTAATACCAAAAATAAATTATAACATTTAGCTAATTTGGAATGCATGTTTAATAGGTTGTGTGCTGTCTTTAATAGGGAAGGGACTAATTAATCTATCAAATAGTGGAGAAGTAACCCATTGAACAGCTTGGCTCGTGGTAGCTGAGAGAGCCTTACCGTGTTCTGTGCCATTACGGGCCATGTAGTCTGGGGCAGTGACTACTCAGACCCCCAGATTTTGGCAACACATGGTTAATTGAAAAGATGGAACAAGCAGCATCTCAAAGGTACATGTTGAGTGCAGTTTCTTACCCTGTGAAAGCATATTCAAAATTTCCAGATGGAGGCAGCACATATCCACCATCCGTCAGGTCTGAGAAAATACCCGCTATCTTGCCAGGCTCACAAAGCATTAAGGGAGCTCTAGGAAGCCCCACTTCTGGGTGGTGCAGACGCCACTCCATTGAGTACCTGGGAGCCCGACAGCTGGGGTGTGATAGCTATAGCTGTCATTTCCTATTGTCACTCTGAATTGGAATTTCCAACTTCATCATAGTAGTAGCCTGCTACATCTGCCATACCTTTTATTTTTACTTTTAAAGAATGGAGACCGAGTGAACTTGTTCTTCATATTCTTGAGCAATTTGATAAAGTGGCACCCTTTCAAACTGAGCTAGGTAAACTCAAATTATGGAAAGAATCACTTGATAGCGGGTAATAAACTTTTGGAATCCCTTACCACCAAGAGGTGGTAGTGGTGGAAATACATATGGATTCCCAAAAGGTTTGGATAGATTTGGTGTGACAGAACCCATAAAGGGCCACCAAGAGGTTGGAATAAATACACTTGCTTTTTAAAATTGATACCAGAGAAGACAGCCATACTTTTCTATTGCCAGTTCCCTTGGGGGCTGCTCCTGGCAACAAAATACTGAATGGAATGAGCCGTGAGTCAGTGGAACCCAGTAAGACAGTTCCTTTGGTGTGTGCTTTTTCATTTAAATTTTCTTCCTGTCTCTCTCCCTTTATCCCTTTGTCCTCTGGTCAGTTTCTTTTTCCTTTCCTTTCCTTTCTCCACTCATGCCTTAGGCCAGCTAGTGACGCTTCCCCCTACCCCACCCCCACCTATGGGTGCTTCATGGAAAGAACACTGGATTTGTAGTCAGGAGGAACCTAGATTCAAATCCTACCTTCTACCTTTCCTGATTGGATGCTTCTTGTCTGAATCAATTAATCTCCCAGGACCTCCTTAGTTTCATCATCTATAACAAGGATAATGAGGATGAAATGAAATAATGCTTGTAAGATCCTTTGAAAACCTTAAAGCCCTACATAAATGTTGGTTTCCTGCAGTCCTTGGCTCTCTTCAAACCACAGCTCAAGTGCCTGGCTGGTAGACTGTTCTTGCTTCCACCTAGGCATTGATTACTTTCTGCCTTTTGAAATTACTTTTATCGGTATACATGTTTCAGATCCTCCCTCCCACCCCTGTAGAGTGTAAGTTGCTTGAGGGTAGAGCAAGTGTAGATGCATTTTTTGTTTTTGTCTTTGTCTCTACCCAGTGCCTAGCATCGAGTAGGCACTCGACAAATGTGTTGAACTGAACTGCATTAAATTGAATTGGTGACTGACTCTAAAGAGATGACTAATTGTGTAAAAAAGTACTATCTTTTCTGATCTCCTGGGCTTCCAGAGCCTGTTAAAATTGGGGCTACACACACACACACACACACACACACACACGTATTGGCCTTGATCCCAATTTTTTAAAATAGCTGCACATTTTTTACCCTCCGTCATAGAATTCCAAAATCACAGTATGGAAAGAGAGTTATCCCTGCTGTGCTCCTGGCCTAGTGACTTTAAAATGTCAGAATCAGCCAACTTAAATAATCAGCATACAAATTAATCACAATGTGGCCCGAAAGTTTCCCAAACAGTCCTGAATCAGTTTACATCCTGTCAAAGTCATTAATGCCTCTCCACTTGCCAGTGTTTGTATCCTTTTTCACTTAGGGAGCCTGAAAGAGGAAGGCACATCGGAACAATCTGGTCTGCTCAGCCAGTCTGTGCCTCCACAATATGGGAGGGTGGCGATTCCAAACTGTAGCCCTGATAATATTTTGACAGCTGCTTAGGGGGGAATTGGGCTTTATAACAGAATTGTTGTTCACACAGGCCTCAGTCCATGCTTCCTGTATCCACGGGTCCTATTGTTTCCATCCCCACTACTAGCTCCAGAATAAGCTAAAAGCCAACAATCCGCCTAGGTGCAAGAATTATCTCCCTTGGCTTCAGTTTCTGCCTCTTAGCAAGGGAAAGACGCGAGGGCATCCCCCCCCCCCAAGAGAGTGCAGTGTTGTTCAACTCTGGTTCACAAAAAGGATCAGTAATAACTACAGAGGCAGTGCTGACGCTGAGAAACTATTCAAATGACTTTGAAGGAATGCTGCTCCCCAGGCTGACTTTAGGCCACAGATACGGTCAAAGCAAAGATGGGGAGCATGAAGGCTGTCACTGTCTTGTTTTGGAGTTGTTTGGATTTTGTTTTATTTGTTTTGTTTTTTACCAGATCTATTTGTTTGATAGAGGAAATTTCATCTGCCAAGGCAGCTGAGTACCTTCTCTTCAACTTAAGAGTCTAAAAGTCACCCAAGGTTACTGAAAAGTTAAATGATTTGCCCAAGCTCACATAGTCCAGTCAAATCACAAGCACTTACTAAGCACTTACTATGTGCCCGGCACTGTACTAATCACTGAATACAAACAAAAAAAAAGACAGTCTCTTACCTTAACAAGCTCACGTTCAAATGTGGGAAGACATATCAAGGGGAAGAGAGTCCATGGATAGCGGGCATGGTGGCTAAGTACAGAGAATGAAGGATGGCCGATCTGCGCCCTTCCTCAAAATGGATATTCTGAGAGGAACCAATGGGAGAAAAGGACCACCAGAGTAGAGGGAGAAGGCAGCTGAAACACAGTGGCAAAATCTAGAGAGTGAAGCATGGCTGGTCTGGACCTTTCCTCAAAATGGAGGTTCCAGGAGGAACTGGCTAATGGAAGGAGGCCACAAGTACAGAGGAAGAAGGAAAGTGTATGGTACACACAAGGCCAGAACCCAAGTCTCCCTGACTTAAAAGCCAACTCCTTATTCCACTATTCCTTGCTACCTTCAATTTTCTGTGTTACATGGTCTTAAGTAAAAGAACAAAAACAACCCACACTATGCCTGTAGTCGTTTTCATTTCCTAATCATAGACATGCTAAGCATGGTAGAGTTTGGGACTAGGCCATACAGATTTCTGATTGAGTGAAATAGACAAACTGGGCCTGGATTTCTTAGGTTGGCTTGTCTCCAAATTGAATTTGCACTGTTTTCTGGATCCAAAAGTCAACCTGCATTAGTATGTGAAAAATCTGATTTAGTTAGTGTGGGAATTCTTTCCACCAACACAGACTGCGACTTGTCCATATTGGTCAAAGGTTGCAATGCCATAAAATTCAATTAATTAGAACTCAGAACCTTCCACTGGAATTTTTCCATATCACGTGTAGACTGAACCTAGCAACAGTGTATCCTAGGAGCAATAATTAGCTTTCACAGTTAGAAATTATCTGTCATTTTTTTTTTTTTTAGGAAAATGAAAAATCACAATAAAATGAACTCCTATCCAGGATTTTTTCTTTTACTAATTATCTAATTTCCCAGCGAATATCCTCAGATCAATATAGATTCTGCCCAATTTTCTACCTCTTATGCAGGTATATATCGTCTTATAGGACAAAAACATATTTGGAAGGATGACCTCCTCTCTGCGCCCCAAGCAAACTCAGTTCAATAAACATTCATTAAGATACCATACAGCATGTGCCAGGCACTCTGCTAAGTCCTAGGGATACATATTAAAGCAAACTACCTCAAAAGGGGTTTACATTCTAATGGGGGAAGACAAGATAATTCAATACATAAAGGGGGGCTGGTGGAGAGTTGGGAGGAGGGACTGTGCCTGGAGTGGCATGGTTTGGAGTTGATGGAAGGGAAATGAGCTGAGGCCTGGCTCCAGGCACAATAAGGTGAAAACTCACCTATCAGAGCCCAGGGTAGTTCTGGGAGCAAAATCTAAGGTCCCAGTGGGAAAGAGGTGAATTTGAATGGCCAGAGGGAAGGTGATGCGGTTTGGAGCATCTCGTTATGTATCAGCTGCCCCTGAATTTCCAGTTGTCAAAGAATGATTCATATTTAGCTTGACAATTTCATTTTGGATTTTTCAAAAAAAGGTTGAAATATCATAGGATCTCTGGTTTATGAATTAACCAGAAAATTCGATTAAACACAATTCCCACACACACATCCCTCCGCCATTTCCTGGCACTCATTGTATTTCACAACCACATGGGAAGTTTAAATAGAGCAATGTAGTGAGAGTTATTACATCTCCTGGCCCTGGAGATGAGTATTAGTCAAGTAACTTGACCCAAACTTGAAGCACCCATGATATTAGTTTAACATCTGAGTTAGAAGTTGTGTTGTTCAGTCGTATACAACCCTTCATGATCCCATCTGGGGTTTTCGTGGCAAAGATCCTGGAGTGGTTTGCCATTTCCTTCTCCAGTGAATCCATTTTGTCAGGCAATCAGAGGTTAAGTGACTTGCCCAGGGTATCTGAGTATCTGAGTATCTGAGTAAGTATCTGAGGCTGAATTTGAACTCAGGTCTTCCTGACTCCAGGCCCACTGCTGTATCCACTGAGCCACCAGCTTTCTCTAGAGTTAGCAATAACTCTGCTCATCTCCCAGCTCTGCCCTTACAGTTTGGGTGCCCTGAGCAAGTAATTTAACCTTTCCTTTCCTCATCTGTAAAATAAAAGGGGAAGGAAATTTATATAGTACCCACTGTGTGCCAGGCACTGTGTTAAGCACTTTACAAATATCTTCACAACAGCTATATGAAGTAGGTGGTGTTATCCCCATTTTACAATTGAGGAAACTGAGGCAGACAGAGGGGTCACCTAGCTAGTAAGGTTCTGAGGATAGTTTCAAACTCAGGTTTTCCTGACTCCAGGCTTCCACTGTGCCACCTAGCTGCCTCTAAAAGGATTGAATTAGGTCAGAGGTTATGTAGTCCACAACACTCCTAAATACAGCCTGAAGCAGACTGAAACGTAGTTCCTATCTGGTTTTAATATGTTGATGTATTAATAAAAAAAAAAAGAAATATATAAACATGTGGTTTTCTAAGTCAATATGGGGCCCACAGAGATTCTTACATATGGCTTGGAGGCCCCCATTTCTACTTGAGTTTGACACCACTGGATTAGATGACCTCTAAGAGCCCTCCCCTCTCTTCCAATGATCCTATGATATGCCCAGTAAATGTGGTCTCACTACACTGTCTCGAATTTGGAAGATACTTTTGTCGAATTGAATTTAAATCCGCTTTCATAGGGGAACTAAAAAATACCAGGAGGTAATGTGGTTGATATCAAAAGTGGCATACACAGTCCACCCTGTCAGTCAGAATTCATCTTTCATGAAAGCCAGCATTGAGCACAGTATTAGCCATTCCCCTAGAAACATTTTCACAAAAATATAGGATGCAAAGATCTAGCTGCAAACTTTCAAGAAGTTTGCTACTCAGGACTCTGTCTCCATTATACCTGTTCTCCTCTGAAAGCTCTTGGGAAATGTGGCTTCACAAGAAAATAGCTCTCCATGAGATATTTTTATTAACGGCTCACTCCATTCAACCCAAGTTTTAAAATGGCAAAACCCAAGAATAATACATACCTCAGTGCTGTGGTTATGAATTGGTTTTGGTGACTTATTTTTTTTTCTCAGGGAGGTCATGAGCATATGGGAGAGTCTCTCTGTATAGCAGAGGTCAAGTTGTGTCCCCTTAATCTACTTGATGAAGTTACAGGATGTGGACTGCTATCAGAAAGGATAACCACCGTAGAGCTGAACGTGTGTTCTTGCTCTCTACTGAAGCACATCCTCTTTGCTAGAAAAATATAGTCATAGATTGGGCTCTATGACTTGGGGGTGGAGGAGGTTGTCTCTAAGGTGAATGGGCACTGACAGTCAGGAGGAGATTCCAGTCATTCTATAAACCATACTATAATACCAGGCCTAGCCCAGAACTCCACATCTTACCTGGTCAAGAGGTCTGGACCTCATAAGCTATTAGGCTGGGGCAAATTCTAGGTGATGCAAAAGTGAAATATCTATTCCACTAGCCACAGTCCTATAAAAGGCTTTTGTCTTCCAGGGGAACGTGATGAATACAATGAGCCACCTGAATGTTTTCTGTCTGTATTTGTCCATGCATGCCTTTGCATCCTTTGGTAGCTTAAGCATTTTCTGTGGTGAAGGAAATAATCTGCTTTTGTATATCTGATATCCATATTGCACCTTTTCTAGAAAGGATCCCCACTTTAGGGGAAATCCCAGATGGTAGGCACACCTAAGCTTTGTTTTAGAGATTTCATCAAGAGTTTTGCTCAAGAGTGGAGGCAGAGCCAAAGAGAAGACACCTGGCCCCTTTCTTTGGGGCCAGGCCCTCCCCCAGGGTAAATCCAGGTCAGTATGAGCTTAGAGTCCCTTTTTGAGAATAGGGGTGTGGGGCTTGTTTGTGGGGGTATATCTGCCAATGTGGCTTTAGTCCCTTGGTTCCAAGATTCTTTCCTCCTGACTCGGTTTCTGTGGAACCTGAAAAGCCCCAGGTAGCCTAGGTCTGGGTCTTTAACCTCAGGAAGAAGTATTCACCTAACCCACTGGCTGGAGCTGTGTATCTGTACAGACAAGTGGGGGAAACGGTTTCAAATAACGAGAAGACAAATTGAGGCACATTTCAAGGGTATAAGGTAAAATATATTCAAAGTAACTCTTATGTGGTCAAATTGCCTTCCGAAGGTTCTCCCCACAGCGGTTCTTCTCTTATCCTCAGATTTTCAGATGCAGCTATTGATCACTTATTCCATTTCATGGGGAAAGACACTAGGCTTTAGCTTAGGGGCATTCATTTCTCAAACTTTAAGTGATAGATTTCTTATCTTAGGTTGCTTTTAAAACATACGATGTCATTGTAAGAATTACACCTAATTTTGTTGAAGTTGGAGCCGATTTTCTTCTGTACATCACGGAATTGCAAGATTTTCAAGTTGGAAGGGACCTCAGCTGTCATCAAATCCAATCCAAACTAGAAAAGAATTCCCACAATAACATATTCATCTTGCTATATAAATGGTAGCTATTGTTATTACTGGATGACCAAGGATAGGCCACACCCTAAGTAGTCTTTTTAAAAAAAAAATAGGGCACCCATGGGGCAGCTAGGTGGCACAGTGAATAGAGCTCTGGCCTTGGAGTCAGAAGGACCTGAGTTCAAATCCAACCTCAGACACTTAACACTTACTAGCTGTATGACCCTGGGCAAGTCACTTAACCCCATGCCCTCACCAGAAAAAGCAAAAAAAGTAAATAAATAAAAATAGGGCACCCTCTGTAAATAGACACGCAAAGTCATGGGCAGAGCAGCTTCAAGGAATATGATCTCCACTAGTAAAAAAAAAAGGACAGATTATGGATTCAAAAGAAAACCAGCCTTGGCAACTAAAGAATAGTGACCCCAGATGAGCAACCCATCCATCCATCAGAGACACTTTGCTTAAGAATAGGGAGGCAGTGTGGAGACACCACCTGGAGAGAAAGGAGATGACAGCTCTATAACACGTGGGGCATAAGTTCCTTCAGACATGTCTGTTCCCTACTTTCTCATCTCACTACCAGTGTATTTCTACATTTGTGCCAGCTCTCCCCAGTGAAGCTCTGTATTTGTTGAAATATCCACTCTAGGAATGTTGTGTAGCTTTTTTATTTTATTTTGCCTTCTTAGAAGATGCCTTTGCCCCGAGTGAATTTTGTCCACTTGCTGACTCTGAAAGCAAGCATTGCTGTTGCAGCTCACGAGCTATAGTTTTTTTGGATTTTGGAGACGGACCCACAGAGTGTTCCTTGAACTCAAGATAGTAGCTGTCCTTCAAGAGGAAGTACCAGTGAGAGTGCAGCTCCTGGCAGGGGTGCTAACATAAATAAAAAGGCAATAGAATGGTCCTGAGGGAGAGGGGTAGAAATAGTTTCATTGAATATATCATATAAAAGTCTGGCTTCCAGAATTTTCAGGAAAATTATAAGTATTTATAAGGGCAAAGCCTGGTCTCCA